AGACCACATCTTTCAAATCTCTTACACTAAGACATGACTGTGAGAATACAGATGTGGCTTCACAGACTCCACTGCACACTCTCCAGCAGATCAAAGATGAAAACATTCAATCTCCAATTTAAAGCTGACCCACACACAGTAAATTGACTTTCAGAAATTCAGACCTCAACAGCTGGGTTAATAACACAAACTTCCTTCTGCAACTCCTGGAATTGAGGCCATTTAAAAGAAAATATTATCAACTAATAGAATAAATATTTTTGCAGTCTGACAACCTTTCATATACCATTTCAATTTACTCCTACAACAAATTGATTGATACTTACTGAAAAAATGCATAGTAAATTGCTTTGCTAATCAAAGCAACTGGAGACATGGATTTGCATAGTAAGCAAGGATTATGCAAAGCAATGTGAGGTTCCTAAAACCTTTATCCACATGACTCAGAAAAAACACAGAATCTGAGCAGGGTAATTACCACAGTGCTGGATTAATGCTGCTCCCTTTTTTTGTACCAGTATTTCAAGGGTTTTTGTGACTGACTCAGCTACATTCCACTTTGAACTCTTCCTGGGTTAACCCCACATCACCTGACTTCAGAGGAAGGAGGAATTTAGTCACAGACTCCCTGTTTCACAACCACACAATAAATCTGTCACCCTCATAAAATACAACAAAACATACTTATTATTTTTTACAGATTTCTTTTTCAATAATCACCCACATAGAAGACTTTTATTATGCTACAAAAGCCACTGATCCACAGCTTATTTCAGTAACATCATTAAGCAGACATATGTGGGCAGAAAAGCAGAACCCAATAAAAGCTATTAGTCCCTGAGTGAGGCTCACTGTTTTATCAGTGCAGGCTCTCTTGCATGACATTGCATGGCTGGCACTGATGCCATTCCAATTAATTATAGCCACACAAACCAAATGCTTGCAATTGTGCCAGCAGAAGTTTAAACTCCTCTAGGAGAAAAATGATTAAATACTTCTGGGAGAAACAAATAACAAATCCCTTTTGTTACTGCTACCCATGACAACTTCACTGCTAAGCTAATAGAATCCAGTGGTAAGATCATGAGTCTGTGAATTTAAGAAAGTTTCAAGTTCACACTCTTGTGCACATTAGCAAGTTAGTGCAGTGCACTGAGAGGAGACCTGCAGAGCAGTTCTGTAGATGTGCTGGCAATTTGACACCCACACCTGCAGTAAGTGCAAACACAGTAAATGCATTCCAGATTCACTGAAGTCCTGCTCTGAAGAGTGTCCATTAGCAGTTGGAGAACACCAGGCTTGCTCCTGAAGTGCACCTTTCAGTTTAGTTTCACTCCAGAGAAAGAGAAACTATACACAGTGTTCTGAGACAGATCACTGCAAACCAAAGCACATCCCTGAACCAAACCAAAGCACTGATGTAAATGCTCTCCATGTGTTCTGGCTCAGACCAATGCTCCCAAGCAGACACCCCACTCACCTCATAGTTCCTGGCATTGGTATTAGCTGCCTTCTCCAGCTCGATGCGAGCTCGTTTGTGGCTCAGCTCCATCTGCATCTTCTCCCGTTCCACCTGCAGCAGCTGGGATTTGGAGTGGATCTGCCCAGCTTGTTCCTCCAGCTGGCCAGTTCATGTGTGAAAAGGGACATTGCACACCATTAACAGCACAACAGTATCATCACACCCTGTACTGCTCAGCTGACATTGACTGCCCATTTTACAAATTATCACCGCATTTGTGGTACCTCTCACACCAGCTGCGGATGGGGAAACTAAGAGATCACCACCATGCTCAGAAACCCACATCAAACCAAGGTGAATTGGAAAGAAATTAATTTCCAGTTCTTAAGTCAGAATTTCTTGACCTCTAGATGTAGTTTGACAAATCTACTTCTCTATCTAAAAAGCTAATTATGAAGTCCCCAAGCCCAAGAAGCACAGGTTATGCTCCCAGTAAAACATAATGGCTTCTTCTACAACCTCTACAACATTATACTTCATTTTTTCATTCAAATGACCTGAGAGCACAGACAATACTAACAGAACTGCTCACATCCTGGTGATGTACATCCAACACACAGTCAGCGGAGACTCTAACCAGAGAGAGCCTCCTGCAAATACTGCTGCCACCAGAGATATAGCACAGACAGAAAAAGCTTAAATTTTTGTCAACATTCCAAATGCAAAGCAGATTTACATTAAAAACAGCAAACTTATTTTGTACTTAGAGGCTGAAATAGAAATTATATTAAGATACAGAATAGAGAAACTTCATTCCAGCCTAATAAACAATCCCTGGGATCTAAAATGTCAATTTACTTTATGCATTATGAGCCTGAAGCAGCTAACAGAATTAAAAAAAGTAAATAACCCAGGTGGATACAAACAGAGGTGGGTAAGAAAGCACAATTGGTTTTTATATCAAAGCCACAGGTCAATGCAGGTCTCCTGGATATGTCCAGTCAAAGCCTGGAAAAAGGTAACAAAGTATCTTACTAGAAAAATGTTAAGATATAAAGCTCCTTTGTTCATCAATATGTAAACAACTCAAAATTTAATTTCCTGAGGTGGTACACAGATACAACTAGCAGGGAATAAATTCAAAGGACTTTTCTTAAACTTTTACAAAATAGAAATCAATCTGTCTGACACTGTAAAAACAAATAAAATATGTTTTGGAAAGGACTCTGGAATGGTGACAGCAAGCTTCCTTCATTGAGTTTGTGTCAATTTCAAAACGTCAGTTTCAGAAAGAACAGTCAGACCTGAATGAACCAACTCCTGGAATCAAAAGGAGCGCATGACCAGACTGAAGTGATACTGTGGGAATCACCAAGATGAGGACTTCTCACCTGCATCCTCTGCTGGTATTGCATCTGTAAGGAGCTCTGAGATGATACTGGTGTAGCCAGCCCAGACACCCCCTCCATACGCTGTGAAATGAAGTTATTGAGGGATCTCAGGGTGGAGAAGACAGTGGTATTATTTTCCAAGTCCTCCATGGCTCTGGAAATGGACAGAAAATCATCAGAAAAACACTCAGAGCAAGCTACACTGCTAAAGAGGGATCCATCACTGCCCTGAGGAAACACTAAACACAAGGTCTTCCAATTCACAGGGTAAAATCAATCTGCAAATCACTGCTGCGTTCCACAGAAAACATGACCCCACCCAGGCTGAAGTTGTAATTTTCTCTGAAATGAGACAAAGATGCAATACAGCCTTTTCTTCACTGACCAAACCAAACTTATTGTTGTTCCCACAAATTTTTGAAGCTGATGGGAGCAGAACTAACTCCAGAGTAGCCGCAAAGCCTTCCTGCTACACAACTTATTTCTGGTTTCCCAGAAGCACTTTGGACTCTAATTTCCAACAAGAAGTCCTCTCAAGTCCACTGATCACTCGTACAAGGGAAACTGCATCTCATCATTCACACAATGAGATGCAGCTCTTCCTTCCCATCAGACGGGTACTAACTAAAAGGCCAAAGATAAACCAAGCCTGGAGCTCGGAAAAGCCTGCAAGGTTTCCCAGGAGATTTCAGGAAGCCTTAAGTGAGTTCCTCCAGTGACTGCACGCTCACCAGCAACACCGGGAAAGGTCCAGGAGCAGGAAAGGCAGCCAGAGCATGCACATGGCTTGTACCACGGACAGAGAGCGGGGCTGCCTCCGGGCTCCTGCACTCTCGGGGTCACACAGCACTTCTTGTTTGGATTTACAGCGGCACGACGCGGAGGTGAATGAGCGGCGCAGAAGCAACAGATCGGCCAAAACCCAAACTGAGCCCTGGAGTACCAAACGCACCTGCCGAACAGCAAGCCCGTTCTCAAACCTACTAACAATTAAGATGACACTTAGATGTGTGACCCGGTCCGGTTCAGAAACCCCCGTGGCCAAGGCTCCCTCGGGGCACGCAGGGACGCGCGGCGGGCAGCGCACACCGACAGCGGCCGCGGCGGGCACGGAGCAGCTCCAGGCACCGAGGGGTCCGCCCGCACAATCCCCGGGGTAAGAGCGGGGCGGGACGGGCGCGGCCGGAGCCCTCCTGCACTCCCGGTTCCCCCCGTCCTTGCCCCTTCCCCGTCACTCCCACAGCGCTCACCGCCGCGCGTCCCGCTTGGATCTCCCTCCTAACCACGGGATCTCGCGGGAACTCCGCGCCCGCCTCTCGCGAGAACGGCGGCGCCGGCAGCCGTAATGGCGGCATTATGCGCGCAGCACTCCGCGCGCTACCGTAATGCCCCGACAAGGCGGGATGAAACTTGGAGCTCGGTCTGCCCCCCCCAAAAACCGCCCCGCGCCCTCCTGCTCTGGTAGGGATCGAGTCAGCAGCCCCGAATGAGCTGCTGATGATGAGAAAGGCCTGGGAGTCTTAGAAATAGCCACTCATATAACTCATGCCAGTCAGCCTGATAAAAGCACTATTTAATATAATATTTGTCACTTTCAGATAAGGCAGCAGCTAAATTTGTTTGTGCAAACAGATTTCCGGCAATTCAGTCATTCTCCCTACTGGGATCTTCGGAACATCTTGTCTTTTTGCCTAAGAAACACCACTGGTCACACCTAAAAAGCAGGGGAGGTGAAATGCACAGCCATGACCCTGTCCCACTGCCATTGACTGGATTTATGAGTGCCAGGAAGCAGCAATTCCTAAATATAACCTGTGTCTGTAGGAGAAGCAGCAGAATCGTGGGGCTAAACATTCCCATGTCAGCCATGCCTCTCACACGGCTGTGCTACACATCCCGCATGAGGATGCAGATGCTGATGTGCACAGAAACACTTGCTGTTTTCACCTGTGCTAATAAATCACACCAGCTTCTAAAAGGCATTGAATTGGTTCAAATTTGGCTCCTTTGCTGTTCCCTCACATCCTAACAATCACCTCCATGGTTAATCTCATGTATGACAGCATTAACAGTGCAATGATTTTCAGGCACATATTAAAAACTCATATAATCAGCATTTTATTTTCATTTCCATTACTCCAGCCCGAGTTTGCCTTTCAGATTATTCCTCTCCATTCCCAACCATTTTGTCCACAAGTACTTGAAAAGCTTTATGGACTTAAAGAAGAGTAGCAAATTTTCCCAGGGTCTTAATGGCGGGATTTTCCTTTAAACACCCACTAAATTGAGATTTCCAATCAATGTCAGAGAATCTGCAGTCCTTGACTTTCATTTCCCTCTGTACAGCCTTGCCAAGTAATAAGATTCCGCAGAGTCCTTCCGGCTGGCCTCAGGCTTTATAGTTCTCACATCCTGGAACTGTTCCTTCAGTCTGTTTTGCAGGAGACGGGCCTCAGATCCATCCCAGAATTTACAGAGCATTGTTCCTTTTGGCTTTAAAATGTGTTGGGATATATCCAGAAGGCTTAAACACAGACTGACCAGCTTCTGATGATCCAGTTCTTTAATGCCTGTGGCGTTGGGTGCCATGTCACTCAGGATGACATCTGCCTTCCCCAAGGGAAGCAGGCTCTGGATTGCCCTCAGCGTGCTGGGGTCTGCAATGTCCGTCTGGGACAGGAAAACTGCTCCTTGCAGAGGAGAAATCCGCAGCAGGTCAACGCCAAGCACAAAGCCGGTGGGGACAGCAGGATCTGTAAGGATGAATGACACAGGGAATGCTCAGAGAGGCTGCAAAAACCTGCACATGCACAAGCTTTGTGCCAGTCAACAGACAAAACCCACCACCTGCCACAGCTGCCTTCTCGTCCCCTGGAAGTTTCCTGGGTGCATCTGGGTGGAGGGTTTGCCATAAGCTCATCCGTACAAGACAAAAACTCAGCTACTTTGGATAAACAAGGGGAATTTTTCTTGGTTTTCTGCTGCTCTTTCCAGGCTGACAGTCCAGAAACCCTGGATAATGGTGCAGATGGTAACACCTCGTTTTATAAATATCAATGCCTTCAAATAAACCATGCATAACAGTCGCTTCTATTTTTTGAGAAGGGAAATAATATTTCAAATAAGCCAAAGTAATTGCTGGAGGTCACACCAAGATCAGAACTGGATAAAGGGATCTTCACCACAACAGCTAATCAGAACACTAGCACCACATGGTACGTTTTATTTCATAAACACAATTTCTCTGTATGAAGACATACTAGGCTCACGCCTTCGTGTTTTTATCACTGACTCTGGCACTCGCCAGTACCCATGTCCCCTCCCCATACTGTTACCATCATAATACTTCCTTGGTTTCATAGCATTTTGATTTAGATCCCGTAGTATTTCGCGGATTTCTCACACAGTTCAAGAGGAGTATCATCCCCATCTTGCCTGCCAGAAAATTGCACTTACCAGTACCTAAGGCATTGACCCTCTCTACAGCAACCTGGCTCCAAGCACCAGGTGCTGCTCCACAGTCAAGAACAGCAAGTCCCGGACGAAGAACACAGAGCTTGTTATCAATTTCCAGCAACTTGAAGGCACTTCGGCAACGGTAATGCTGCTGCTTCGCTGCCTTGACAAAGGGATCCTTCAAGTGCCGCTCCAACCACCTCTGCTCAGCTCCAGTTTTCCTCAGAAGCTTCACCGTGGTGTGCAGGCATCTGCTCATCCAAAGCCTACAAATGCCAGGAAGAGAGGCAAGTCAACCAGCTAGTACATAAGCACTCTGTATTTCAAAAGCCTCTATAGTAATTAATTCCAGGCACTACAGGCAGCACAGGGAGGCTGTGGAGTCTCCCTGTCCAGAGACATTTGAAATACAGCTGGACGTGTTCCTATGCCACCCACTCCAGGTGACCCTGCCTTGGCATGGTCATTGGGCTAGATGGTCTCCAGAGGTCCCTTCCAACCCAAACCATTCTGTGATTCTAAAAAGAAGCCCCCAAATTTGAGATTTTTGGCACCTTTACTTATCAGATCTTATCACAACAGCAGGGCCAGATTTTGGATGAAGCCTCCTCTGTTATCCTGAGGTAAGGGAGGAAAGAGATCACACTCCAGCTTCTGCTCTGCGGTTTTAAGGACCCGACAAGGCAGAGTGACCCCAGCACGGTCCTGTGCTGCCTCCGAGAGCCCCTCGGAGGAACGGAGGGATGTCCGAGCTCCTGCAAGCTCCTGGCAGAGCAACCAAGAGCCACGGTCCCTGCCAGGGCGAAACCACCGCACGGCATTAACCTAAAACCCCAAACGCACATTAACCCATTCCCGAGGGATACTCCAGGCACTAACGACACCCCGCCATCCCTGGGCGCCGGGATCGCCTCAGCGGCCGCACCACGCACCTGCCTCCCGCAATGGCAGAGGCCCCCGCGCCCGCCATGGCCGCCTCAGCCCGCCCCGGCCCGCCTCCCCTCACGGCGGCCGCGGG